TGTGTGCCAGTTCTGGGACTTGATCTCAGGGCCTGCACACTGTCCCTTAGCTTTTTTGCTCAAGGCTAGAACACTACCACTTGAGCCACAGCTCTACTTCTGGCTTTTCTTTTTTTGTGGGGGGAGGAGTTAATTGGACATAAGAATTACATGGACATTCCTGCCTGGTCTGGCTTTGAACCATGCTCCTCAGATCTCAGCTTCATGAGTCCACAGGCATGAGCCAATGGTGACTAGCTCCATCTAGATTGGTAGGGACAGATAGATTGGTCAGACACACACACACACAGACTATACAGATGACCATTACCAAAAATAAAAGAGAGTCTGTCATTACAGATTCAACAGTCATTAAAAATAAGGAAGTACTGCAAATAATTTAATGTCAACAAAACCCTTAGATGAAATAAATTTACCGGAAAACAAAACTATGGGTGTCTGCAATTGATGAGCTGAGATAATCGATATCAAGAAAATTAAAAGTACTAGCAAGATTTAATAAAGAAAAACTTAGGTCTTGAAAGTTTCCCTGGTCAATTCTATCAAAAGTTTAAGAAATAGGGCTAGAATGTAGTTTAGTGGTAGAGTGCTTAACATGCACGAAATCTGGGTTTGATTCCTCAGTACCATATACACAGAAAAACCCAGAAGTGGTGCTGTGGCTCAAGTGGTAGAGAGCTAGCCTTGAGCAAAAAGAAGCTCAGAGACGGTGCCCAGGCCCTGAGTTCAAGCCTCAGGACTGGCACACACACAAAAAAGAATGATCAGAAACAAATAGCATTGCTCTTTTCTACCAGTAAAGAAGAAATACCTGTTTCTTCATTTTGTGAGTCCACATTAACTGACAAAAGACATTACAATGAAAGAAAATTACAGGCCACAGTTCCCACATACGCAAATATCCTTAACAGCTGATCAGTAATATCTTGAAAGTATGGTTTATCATGACCAAGTTTGAATTAGGAGCTAGTGAGAACTTGGTCCCAAAGAATGCCAAGTCAGGAGGTCAGCCACAACCAAATAGCGCCAGACTAGGAATAAGGATGAGGCTCTGCCTCAATTCAGAGTGTGGAGCATGTTCAACAATAGCCTCTGGCAGTCTTTTCCAACCCTCCCACTGGAAAGTCTATGAAGCCAAGTCTGAAACTTGTATCACAATTGCCTAGAATTTCTGCTTCAGCAGCTCAAAAAGCAGAAGTAGAAAATCTGCAAGACATGCTTGCATGCATGGGTACCGCCACCATGTGCACATGACCTGCAGTGCTGAGGATTTGTGGGTGCCCCCCCTCTAGGGTACTAACACATCCTCAGGGAGTGCTTTTAAATGAACTCTGCCAAAAGCACCCAATATGTCATCAGACTATGGAAAAGAGCATGGGGTCCAATTCACCTGGGTTTGAACTTTAGTTCTGCTGAATGACCCTGGAAATTTTGTCTAATATCACAGATTCTCAGTTTCTGCATCTGTGATGCAGAATGATTGTGAGAATTATGACAGCATAGACGTTCATGCATTATAAGTGGTGCTCAGTAAATGTTAGCTCCCCTTCTAGCACATAATCATAACTCAAGCAAGAACAAGACATATTCATTTCCCTCTTACGTAAAGATGAGCAGAGGCGGGAAATTTGTTGGTCCTGGGTTGGGCACTCCACAGTCAGTAGGAAATCAGGCTTTGCCTATGTTTCTGCTATACCATCCTTAGGGTATGGCTTACCCCCCACCCCTCTTGTCAGTCTTGGAGCTTGAATTCAGGGCCTGGGCTCTGTCCCTGAGCCTCTGTGCTCACAGCTAGTGCTGTACCACTTGAGCCACAGTGACACTTCCGGCCTTTTTCTGTTTATGTGGTACTGAGGAATCGAACCCAGGGTTTCATGCATGCTAGGCAAGCACTCTACCATTAAGCCATATACCCAGGCCATGGCTTACATCTCTATGCTCAACTTATGATCGAAAAGGGCTGCTGTATCTTCATCCTATTCACATTCCAAGCATTAAAAGGGGGAAAAGTAGCTGGGAAGGTGGCTCAGTGGTAGAGCGCTTGCCTTGCATGCATGAGGCCCTGGGTTCGATTCCTCAGCACCACATATGCAAAAAGAAAAAAGCCGGAAGTGGCGCTGTGGCTCAAGTGGTAGAGCGCTAGCCTTGAGCTGAAGAGCTGAGGGACAGAGCCCAGGCCCAGAGTTCAGGCCCCATGACTGGACCCAAAAAAAAAATAAAAATAAAAGGGGGAAAAGTCAGGGGGTGTATGCCAGCAGTTAAACCTCTTATAGAGAACTTTTCAGGACACCCCAACAAATGATGGGACTCCTCTAATTCTCAAAGAGGATGGAGTTTTTTTAGTAGGATACATTGCTCTTCCCAAATAAAATTGGGGTTCTGTTACTAAGAAACAAGGAGAGAAAAAGCCTGGTACTGGTGGTTCATGTCTGTAGTCCTAGCTGCTCAGAAAGCTGAGATCTTAGGATCATGGTTTGACGCCAGTCTGGGCAGGAAAGTCCATGAAACTCTTATCTCTAATAAATCATTCAGAAAAAAAACTGGAAGTGGCACTGTGACTCAAGTGGTGGAGCGCTAGCCTTGAGCAAAAAGAAGCTCAGGACAGACAGCGCCTAGGCTCTGAGTTCAAGCCTTAGGACCAGCAAAAGTAAAAAGAGGGGCTGGGAATGTGGCTTAGTGGTAGAGTGCTTGCCTAGCATGCACAAAGCCCTGGGTTCAATTCCTCAGTACCACATAAACAGATAAAAGCTGGAAGTGGTGCTGTGGCTCAAATAGTAGAGCACTAGCTTTGAGTAAAAGAAGCTCAGGGATAGTGCCCAGTCCCTGAGTTCAAGCCCCAGGCTGACAAAAAAAATTAAAAACAAAACAAAAAAAAGAATGAGAGAGAGAGAGAGAGAGGAGGAAGGAGGAAGGAAGGAAGGGGGGAGGGAGGGAGAGAGGGAGGGAGGGAGGGAGGAAGAAAGAAAAAGAGAGAAGGAATGGGAGAAAGAAAGAAAGAAAGAAAGAAAAGTTATTGGGGGCTAACTGGCAAGGCTTCCAAGTCACCGCATGTGACAGAAAAGGCAGCCCTTGTGCAATGAATAAATGTGATTACAATCCAGCTTTGACACTTACTAACCAAATGAGTGACTGTAGTTCAGGCAAATAACTTTACCAGAGTCAAATAGTAGGTTTGTAACATTTCATGTGCCTGAATTTGAGATCCAGATTCTGGACATGGCACTATCTGGATCTGGCACAGATATGTATTGGAGGGGAGGCTGGGCTGCGACCGGACCTTTGTAGAGAGTGGCCATTTGGGTAAGTGGAGAGACCACTCTTTTACAAGAAGGCTAATCTTCTTGGTAGCTCATTGCTTCTGAAAAGCCACCTGTATTTTTTTTTTCAGCCATGGGGCTTGAATTTAGGGCCTGGGCACTGTCCCTGAGCACTTTTTGCTCAAGGCTAGCTATCTACCACTTTGAGCCATAGCACCACTTCTGATTTTCTGGTGGTTAATTGGAGATGAGAGTCTCACACACTTTTCTTCCCAGTCTGGCTTCAAACCATGATCCTCAGATCTCAGCCTCTTGAGTAGCTAGGATTACAGGCATGAGTCACCCACACCTAGCCTATTTGGGGTTTTAATTTGATACTTTGCTGGGTTAGAACGTTGGAACTATCTGGAAGAGGTGGAGAGGGCAGAATGTTTATCAGGTAAAACCTAGGTACTGGTGACCAAAACTATATATAGTCCAACCCACCCACCTGCCTGTTCCACATAGTTCTGTCTCCATACTCTCTACCCCATCCGTATGGCCATGCCTGAGCTTCCTTGGACCATTGAACAGGGTTGAATACAAATCCATCAATGACAGGATAGGAGTGAGGGCTCCTCACTCAACCCTAACTTTACATCTTCATCTGTAAAGTGAGCATTGGAGTCAGTAACAAGTATCTCATGCTGTCGAGCTGTGTGCTGAGCAGGACAGAACTAGAGTCTCTTCTGTATGGCAGAAATAGGTGCTGCTCTTGGTCCATTGTCATGTTGCCCTACTGAAGTACCAAAAGTTTTGGGTTGTTTGAAGCCACTATCTTTGCTATAAACTATAAACTGCTCCATCCCGCCATTTCCATTGTTGTTGAATCCATTTCATTGCTTTCTACCTAGACCGGAATCTTCCCCTTACCCTCCCCACTGCTCTCTCCCTTCCTCTAGATCCTGGCTCATGTTATTCAGGTCAGTGACAGCAGCAGGCGGGAGAGGAGGACAAGGAGGGACAGGACGCTGGCTCTGGGGTCCAGCCTCCAGGAGCATCTATCTGTTCTGTGTGGGAGACTGAGCCAGGAGCTGGGCTGAGGAAGTCGGTGGGAATTACCTGGTAAGATTCTTGTCAGGATGCATTGTACTCACGTGTGAGAAGTGTTTGGGACCCCGCCCCGCATAGACAGACAGACACAATATGCGGTGGTAATAACCGACATTTATCATATGCGATTATAATGAACGTTTGTGGGTCGTTAGGAGACCTGATCCAAGGAATCGCAATAAGTCACAGAAGGGTACTCAAGGGCAACACCCAATCCCCAGGCCAGCTGCCTCGACTTCCCCTTCCTACCCCTTCCTCTTCCCTAAGGGGGCACCAGCCCCGGGGGTAAAACAGGTGTCTGGGACAAGCTGGTGTTCTATACACTACCGCTCAGGTTCCAGAGATTGTCCAGCCCTCCTTTCTCCTAGCTTCACTTCAACAACACCTCGGGCTGCTCTTAGGTGGCAGATCGGAGATGGTGGGACTGTTTTCCCGAAGTGTGGGGCGCACGTGGTGGGTTCGGAGGGCCGGCCAGCCACGGGGTCGACCCGGGGTTCTCACTTCCCCTCCCCAACCGCCGCGGAGGAGGCAGGTGCTGGGGGCGGAGCCGGAGGGCGGGGCGGAGCCGTGTGGGCGGGGCGGACCCTCGGACACGCCCCCTCGGCCAGTCCCTCCGCGAGTCCCCGCTGCCCGCAGGGAGGAAGCGCCAGAAGCAGCTGGTCGTGCGCGGAGCTGAGCGCCCTTTCGCCCCGCGCCCAGGGGACAGCGCTCCGGGCCGCGGCTGCGGGCCCCGGGCACCGGCACTCATTGAGCCGGACATGTGAGCCGCGTCCCCGGCATGGCAGCCTCAGGTGGGTAGGCAGGGCTCGGGGCGCCCCGCAGCCTGCCCACTCGTGCACCCCTGGTCTCCGGGGTGGCGAGTGCGCGCTCTGTCGCTTCTGTTCTCTTCTGGGCAGGGATTTTTTCTTAATCCTCTTTGATCTTTATTTCCCAGGCTTGGTCTCAAACTTCTCTAAACGTCTCTCCAGCCCCTGCTTTGCTGATCACCGCCCTCTACGGAAATTCGGCTTCTAAGTCACGGTTTCTCCCCCCTCCTCTGCTCTCGGAGCTTCCCAGGGTCGTTCCTCCCATGTCTCCAACTCGAACAGCCTTCGGAAGCTGGTAGCTTGGAAGCCGAGCGCAGACTTGTCTGTGCAGGCAAATGCGTCTCTGGGGTCTCATCTGCCAATAGGGGGCGCTCGGTCAGACCTATGTGGTGCTGGCAGGTCCCAGCGGCTCAAGCCCCTGACCTCCCTCCTGGAATAACGTTAGGAATATGACAACCCTATCCCTGCAACTTTAATTTTTCTAAAGCGTCTGCAGAACTTTCAGGACTGGGGAAAGTTGAAGTGACTAGGTAAATCTACCCATCAGAACATGCCCTTCTGGATCGTGGGTACTATACACTTGGCAAGTCACTCCAATGGAGAGAAAAGCACACAATAATGATAATGATCAGAAACAACAAACCAACCCTGCCTGTACACCCCAGTAAACATGGTTCACCTATTGTGTTCCCAGTGGTGACCAGGACAACCCAGTCTCTGTTTTCCAGAAGTTATTAGTCGATGAGAAGAGATAGTTACCATGTTTTCAGGTAGATTTTCTCAGCAGCACAACTTATGTTTTAGTAGAGATAACACATGAAAATGGGTGCTGGGGGAAGGCCCTCTTCTTGGAGGATGAGTGGGAGAAGATGCTAGAATGCTGTCTCTGGACCTACCAAGATTCAGCCTGGTCACGGTGATTTGAAAGTGGGCACAAAGGCCAAGGAAGTCAGTTCTATTAGCTTTGATGACCCAGAGTCATTATTTAAGGGCTAAGAAGGTGGTTCATTTCAGCCTCTTGGTTCTAGCTGGGCTATGCAGCTATTGAAGAGGCTGAATTGGCTCATTACTATGAGCCTAGTAATGACAGACCCATGGTCCACATATTGCATATGAAGGCTGAAGCAGAGTTCTTTAGAGGGAGTTCATTCATTGGACAGATATTTACTGCCTGCTTAGTGTTCCTTCACCAAACAGCAGACAGAAGCCATTCCCCTGTGGAGTACAGGTATAGGGAAGGAAGATGGGCAACCTTGCCTTGTTTCCTTAATCAGCAAAGTATTTGATGTGATATGTAGAAAAACAACAGAGAAGGAAAAGGGGACTTGTGATAGAACTTGAAAGAAGGGGCCAGCTGAGGTCTCATAGAGAAAGGGAAACTTTGCCCAGTCCTGAAGGAGGAGAGGAAGGGCCCTATTTGAAGAGAGGGTCCTAGGCAGGAGAATCAGCACAGTGTGTCCAAGGAACAGAAAACAGCCAGCAGGGCTTGGCATAGTTGCCGGGTAGGGGAGAAAGCAAGGAGCCCATGGAGTCACTGCCTTCTTTCATGTTTAGAAAAGGACCCAGGCTGCTGTGTGCAAGCAACAGCAAACTGGAGAGCCTTTGCGTGGAAGGGGCTAGGTGAGCTGCTTAATGTCCTGCTTAATGTGCCAGATAGTGGGTGTGGTTAGGAGGGTGGAACTTGGGTTATTTGGCCTTGTATGTGGGTTAATGGTTAGAGTTATCACATCCTCTGTGATGGGACAAAATGTCATGTTCTAAAAGTGGTAGCTGGTCCCCTGGGGCTCTCAGGGACTGGAGGCCCAAGGACCCATGGGGGCAGTCATAGTGAGGAAGGTAGTGTCTCTTGTCCAGATGCTGTAGCCTCTACAGTCCTCCAGGCCACCCACTTAAAGTGTACAGTTCTACTTGATGGATTTTAGTTTCTCTATGGTTATGTGCATGTATTGCCACAGTCAATTCCAGAACATTTTCATCACCTCAGAAAGAAACTGTATACTCTGTAGCCAGCTCTCCCTTACCCTTCCTGCCTCTCCAGCCTGAAAAATTTCCCTGCTCTGGACTTTGGCATGAATGGATCCTGGATCCTGTGGTCTTTGCTGGTTGGCTTCCTTCACATGGCATAATGCTTTCAAAGGTTGCTCAGTGATAGATAATGTTGATACTTTAGTTACTTCATTCCCTTTTTATGGCCTAATCCTCTGATTAAAAATAATTTCCTTCCATTGAAAGGTAAGCATTAGCCTTTTATTTCCTGAGAGATCTGTTTGTTTGCTGAAATCCTGGAGTTTCCTGGTCTTTGAAAGAAGCCTGTGCATCAGGAGGAAACGAAATGGACACAGCCTATTGTGGAACCTGATGGCCTAGGTTCTGATGGCCTCTGATGTATTCACACGTGACAGCCAAACCTGTGGCTGGTGAACACTGGAGCTCTCTCTACGTACATCAGCCTCCAGAATTTGAGGAGTGTTCCCACACTTGGTCCTGGTCCTCTCTTTAAGCTTACCTCTAATGCGTCTATCCTACTGAACCTACAGTACCACAGAGCTGCAAGGGACTTGTTGATTTTTGTGATCTTTACTTTCATTTCATCCTTGAGGCCTTTCTACACTTTTGCCAAGTCCCTAAATTTGAATACTCCTCATGTTCACATTCACAGGAGACAGGATGCTCTTAATGGGTGTTTATTACCAGATATCTCCCAATATCAGTCACTATCTTTGTTACCTTTTTGGTGGTACCGGGGCTTGAACTCAGGATCTCATGCTTGCTATGTAGGCACTCTACTACTTGAGCCACTCTCTCAGTCCTTTTTACTTTATTTTCAGATCTTGAATTTTTGCCCCGGCAGCCTCCCAAGAAGCTGGATGACGATGTGCATCACAATGCCCTGCCTATTGGTTGATATGGGGTCTCCCTAAAACTTTTTCCCAGGGCTGCTCTGGAACCAAGGTGCTCCCAATCTTTACTGCCCAAAGCATTGAGATTACAATTGTAACCACTGTGCTTGGCCTTCACATCTCTCCTTAAATATGGTGCTCAGATTCAAACATAGGACTCCAGGCCAGGTAGACTGGGTGACTTAGAGTCACCCACAGACTCAAGAAATGGCTAGCCTGTGTATTTGAGAAATTCACTGTCTTTTCTCAGCTAAAGTCTGAGTCATTCAGTGACATCTCTCTTCCAGTCACTGTGTTTCTTCCTAGCACTGTGACTCCCTGCTGCCACCTCATCTATTCTTCTCATCTCCAAACCTTTCTCGAAGCTCTATAAATCTAAAGCCCTTCTCTCAGTTCTGCCTGGGCTTTCTGGACTCCATATTGTATTTATCTTTTCTTTTGTCAGTTGTATGCTTGAATCCAGGGCCTGGGTGCTGTCTCTGATCTCTTTTTGCTCAAGGCTAGCACTCTACCTCTTTGAACCACAGCGCTACCTCTGATTTACTGGTGGTTAATTAGAGATAAGAGCCTCACAGACTTACCTGCTCAGGCTGGCTTTGAACCGTGATCCACAGATCTCAACCTCCTGAGTAGCCAGGATTATAGGCGTGACCCACAAGTGGCTGGCAGAAAGAAAAACCCTCAAAGGAGAAGTGACTTTGGACAAATGGAAAAATGCCTTATTGTTAAGGGAAGGGAGCAGTCACTGAAGAAAGGGGGATCTTCCACACAAGGGAGAACCACTGACAAGCATTTATTGTCACCCAGGATGTTGGAGAGGAACTGTGACTTCCATTCTGGACTTTCCTACAACTTTACTGGCTTTCAGTTTCAATAGCACTTCCATAATCAGGAGCATGGCAGAGTTCACGGTCCTTATTTACATGAAGGCCAGATTTGACTAGATTTAGTGCATGGGTCTCCATTGCCCCAACTCAGAGTCCAAATAGGTTGTGATGATGAGTCAGAGGCATTTTTCAAATGCGCTTGCTCAACTTGGATGGAATTTAACCCTAGAAGCCCATGGTTAAATGTGTTATTTTAAATAGAAGAGGCAAACCTCTTAAAGCTTATTTTATCTCTTTTTGGGGGGGGGCCGGTCATGGGGCCTGAACTCTGGGCCTGGGCGCTGTCCCTCAGCTCTTCAGCTCAAGGCTAGCACTCTACCACTTGAGCCACAGCGCCACTTCTGGCTTTTTTCTTTTTGCTTATGTGGTGCTGAGGAATCGAACCCAGGGCCTCAGGCATGCAAGGCAAGCACTCTACCACTGAGCCACCTTCCCAGCCCTATTTTATCTCCTTGTATTTTATTTATTCTGATATTAGGGCTTGACCTTAGAGCTTCACACTCTCACTTAGCTTTTTCACTCAAGGCTGATGTTCTAGCACTGAGCCACACCTATACTTCTGGCTTTTTGCTGGTAAATAAGAATCTGATGAACTTTCCTGACTGGACTTAAAACTGTGATCCTCAGATCTCAGCCTCCTAAGTAGCTAGGTTTAGAGGCATGAGCCACCAGTGCCTGGCTCTTAAGGGTTTTTATTTCAATTTTATTTTAAAACAGTGAGTCCCCAGGAAAACAGCTAAGATAGTTCCTATATATTCTATACCCAGTTTATCCTATTATTAAAGTATACTAGTATACTACATTTGCTACAGTTAGTGAACCAATATTGATAGATTGTTATTCTTCGTGGGGGAGAATCTTTTGAAACAGGATCTTACTATATATCTGGCCTGGAACCTTTTACTAATTATTGAGGGTTTTTTACATAGTAAACCAATGCTTAGTACTTTGCATGCTATATCTAATTAGTTCTGAAACACAGATAAATATTACCACTATGTTGTATTTAGAGGTGAATAAAATGAGTTTTAGAAGACCTATAAGTAATCTGCTCAAGGTTACACAGTGAGGTGGCAGAGCTAAGATTCTAAATCTGACTGACCAATCTCACATCTATGATTCTAACCAATGTGTAATTGAGAAGATAGCTGGGTTCTGAGTCAAATCAAATTGCCTTCACATTTGTGTGTGTGTGTGCACGTGTGAACGCGTGCTCACATGCGTGTGCATGCACACTGGCACTGGGATTTAAACTCAGGGTCTCATGATTTTTTTTTCTAAAGGTTTTTACTCTACCACTTCAGTAACACCTCCACTTCTGTTTCTTTTTGCTGGCTAATTGGAGTTCAGAGTCATAGCCTTTTCTAATCACTGCTGGCTTAGAACTGTGGTCCTCAGATCTTAGCTTCCTGAGTAGCTAGGATTACAGACATAAGCCACCCAGCGCCTTTAAATTCTGACTCTGCTCTTGTGAACCTTGGGCAAGGTACTTAACCTCCACATTCAGTTTTTCCCTCATCTTGAGAGGATAAGAAAGTTTACTAGTCATTGTGCTTAAAATATACCTGGAAAATACCCTTGACTGTACTAGCTTTGGGGCCGCAGGAGCTGGGGGGAAGAACAGGTAAAATAATAGCTTCTGCAAAGATTTGCAACAGCCATGTATGTTTGGGCAAAGCTAGACTCTGGAATGGTGGCCAGACCAACTGTGAGTGGAGACAGCGGTTAGATAGCTGTGCAGAGATAGACCAGGAGTGGCTGTGGGTGTCTCTTGGTATATGTTAACAAGCTTCTCATTCCTCTGTGCTCAGGAATGCCCCACGGATACGACATCCTCATTGTCTACAGCCAGGATGCAGAGGAATGGTGCCATTACCTGCAGGAACTTTTCCTGTCCAGCCGGCAGGTGCGCAGCCACAAGATGCTGAGCCACCGGTTGGGCCTGGACGTGTCGGTCTCAGCTGAGGACCTGCGTGTGTTCCTCAGTGCACGCTGTGTGTTGGTGCTGCTGTCTGCAGAGCTGGTGCAGCTCTTCTACCAGCCATCCCTGCTGCCCCTGCTGCAGAGGGCCTTCCACCCCCCTCGCCGCGTGTTGAGGCTTCTCTGCGGGGTGCAGGCCCACCATGAGCAGTTCCTGCCCCTCTTTCCTGACTGGGCCCACTGGCAGGAGCTCACCTGTGACGATGAGCCTGAGGCGTACCTGGCAGCTGTGAGGAAGGCCATTTCTGAAGGTAAGCATTACTTCTGGTGAAAAAAGCAGCAAGAGTCGGAGTCAGGTGCTAGATGCTCAGCCTAGACATCTTTTATGTTAATACTGGCAATTTATTTTTAGAAGGAGATCTTGCTATGCTGAGACCTGGTGCTATGTCTTGGTTTAAAGCAGCCAGCTCCTGGAGCAGGATGGGTCTCTTGGATGGTAGGAAGCAAAGAGGACACTTTTTCTTATATACGTATTTTTCTTGTATTCGTTCTAGGATAAAAGCCTCCTTTTGGGAATTTTCTTTTCATTTCCTTTCTTTCTCCCCTCTCATCTCGTCCTTTCCCCCTCTGTCCCTTCATCCCTCTGTCCCTCCCTCTTTCCCTTCCTTTTCTCCTTCCCTCCCTTCTCTCTTTCTTTCTTGCTTGCTTACTTGCTTGCTTTTTATGCTAGTCCTGGGACTTGAACTCAGGCCTGGGTATTGACCCTGAGCTTCTGTTTTTGCTCAATCAAGGCTACTGTTCTACCACTTTTAGCCACAGTTCCACTTCTAGTTTCTTTGGTGGTTAATTGGAGATAAGCGTCTCACAGACTTTCCTGCCTGAGTTCACTTCAGAGTGTGATCCTCAGATCTCAGCCTGCCTCTTGAGTACTTAGGATTACAGGTATGAGCCACTGGTACCTGGCCTTTCTGGAATTTTTCTATGCCTTGGAAGACACAGGTTTCCACCTAGACAGCAGCTGGGGTGGGGCAGAGATTTTATTTACTGTGGGTGTGGGTTTATCATCATAGGAATGCATTTTTTTTTTGTATGTGTGTGTGCCTGTACTGAGCTTGAATGCAGGGCCTACCCTAGGCTTTTTCACTCAAGACTGGTGCTACCACTTGAGCCACAGCTCCACTTCTGGCTTTTTGGTGGTCAATTGGAGATAAATATCATAGCCTGGCTTCAAATCTTGGTCCTTAGATCTTAGCCTCCTGAGTACCTAGGATTTCAGGCTTAAGACATGGTCCGCTAGCTCTGACATTGACATTTTTTGTTGAAGAAGTGTTACTTTTAGATGACACCTATAGAGAAATAGCCCTTTTTCTTTATTTCCTGCTAGCCTAGTTTCTGTCTTTAATCTTGCTTTTGGAGTGGGAAAATTCCAATCCTTTCTGCCAGGGCTGGTGACTTTGGTGGCCCCAAAAAGTGTGACACATGCTCTAATTAACATAGCGGAAGAGGTGCTCTGGGATGGATGCTGTTATAGCTTCTCTTCCTCTTTTCCTTTTCTATTTTTGCTTCTCTGTGGGGTATGAGTGGGCTGTGTGTTTATCTGCTGTTCTCTGACCATTTGAGATCTGTATCTTTGACACCAGTCAAGAAGTCTGAAAAATTCAGGCCTGATTTAGCTGTGCTTGCCTCTATGATTCTTGGTGTGACTTGGGCACTAATTAGTTCATCCACTCCTGTCTCATCTGATGAATTGAACCAAGGAGCCAAGGATTTGCTAATTCTGAGTGACTTTATTACTTACTTACTTAATTTTTGTCTGAGATCAGGATTCAAACTCTTGACCTGACGCTTTCGCTCATTGGGTAATGCTCTACCACTAAGCCACACTTCCAATCTCCTGATTGACTTTAGAAAGTGTTTTTATCCCAGGAATAGGCTGCTGTGAATCAATAAATATGAACAGGTCTCTTAACATAGTATAGCCCTAAATTGATTAGTGGAGAAGCAAAAGATTTTCACCAGAATGCCTAGAACCTGGCTCTGTAATTTTTCTTGAGGTTGCTTATGTTTGCTTTGCAAGAAAATGAATATAAAGTAATTCACATGTGCATGATTGCATTTTGTTGCTTTGAGCTGCCTGAACTTACAAAGAACTGTTGGTGTGGATGAGGTATATCACTGTTGGAGTCCATTATGACCTCATATGTAGACCACTATGACATACTGCCAATCAGTCAGAGCTTTATTGATGTATTGTCACTGTATAGGCACTTCACACTACACACTCTTAATAAACTGTTCTTTAAAATATCATAGTTTGGCTGGGAAGGTGGCTCAGTGGTAGAGTGTTTACCTTGCATGCATGAGGTCCTGGGTTCAATTTCTTAGCACCACATAAGCAGAAAAGGCTGGAAGTGGCTCTGTGGTTCAAGTGGTAGAGCGCTAGCCTTGAGCTGAAGAGCTGAGGAATGATGCCCAGGCCCAGAGTTCAGGCCCCACGATCAACAAAAATAAATAAATAAATAAAATATCACAGTGATGGTATTAAAAATACATACTAAAGGACTTGGAGTATGCTCCATGGTAGATTGCTAACTTAGTATTTGTGATGTGGGTAGGCTGTAGTTCAATTGTTTTTTTTTTGGTGTCTGTCCTGAGGCTTAAACTCAGGACCTTGGCACTGTCCTTGAGCTTTTGTGCTCAAGGCTAGTGTTCTACCACTTGAGACACAGCTCCATTTCCAGCTTTTTTTTTCTTTTGGTAGTTAATTGGAGACAAATGTGACTTGGACTTTCCTGCCTGGGCTAGGTTTGAACTGTGATCCTCAGATCTCAGCCTCCTGAGTAGCTAGGATTATAGGCATGAGCCACCAGTGCCTAGTGCACACATTTCTTTTAGCATTATCTGGATGTATCTATTGATTGGATTCCTGGATAAATAGATTTTCTCTAATATTTTGCTTGTTAGTACAAACTGGCTTAGTATCCTGTAAGCCTTTAGCTTCAAGTGTTTCAGAAAGAATAAAATACTTCACAGCAGCACTTCTGATCTGAAAACAGATAACCTCTTTGAAAAAGATTGTTTTGATGGGGAGGTTAGTTCCAAACCAATGGATAGAGAGACAATTAGAATTATAGGAAAGAGGAAGATGAAACTGAGATTAAAAACTGGCTACAAGTAGTCAGTCTTGGTTTGGGCTGCACTATCTAAGTAAATGTTTTCCAGCTTTTATGTGCATGGAAGGACTTGTGAATCTGGGCAGTGTACATATTCTGACTCTGAAAGTTTGGGGAGAGCTCAAGACTGAGCACTTCTAGTCAGCTCTTAGATGCTGCTGCTGCTGAGGGTCCAAAATGAAGCCAAACCCCCTGCTCTCACCCTCCTTGTCATATCAGGGGTCCAACACCTCTGCTGTACCTGAACCATTTAAAAATTCTCTACTGTTGCAGGAGTGGAGGCAGCATCATATCAAGGCAGCTCTAGTACATGCATTTAGCTGTAAGATTAAGCCAGTGTGTGGTAGTTAGGTCATCAGACTAAAAGGTGGAGACCCTAAGCTCTGTGCTTTTGCTCCCAGAATCATGTGCATGCTGACAGCTTTCCACATCACAGCTTTTCTGATGTAAGTAGCTTTGCTCTAGGATGGATGGGGTTCTCCTGCCACCTCAGTCCTTACGCTTGCTTAATCTGTAAGCTTTTTGATCAGCGTTCCTATTCCACTCCAAATTTGGCAGCCACCAGCACATGGTTTCATTAGAGTCTACAGTGTGGGGAAGCAGTTAGTTTAATCTCATAAATTCTTCATTGGTAAAACAATGGGGCTGGACCAGATGACTTGGACAGTTTCTCACATTACAAATTTGCTAAGAAGAAGCTGCTTAGAACTTTTCTACTTAGTTAGTCCAGTTCCCAAGTGTCTGCATGGATAGATATCCGTGTGGAGAAGATGATACTATTGTTCTGAAGTTTCTGGACTTGTGGGATGATTATTTTCAAATAAGGAAGTAAGAAAACCCCAAGAACAGCACGACACTTATTTCCTCTTTTTACTAGGGCTTTATTCTTGTTGCAGATCTCACTGGAAGACAAACTTAGATCTGTGAGATTGTGTGAGAAAGGACTCAGTGAGTGAGATAGAGCTTTATTTCAAGCATGTTCATGTGCGTGAGCACACATGCACACATATGCTGAGTGTGGAGGGAAACATGAAACCACCTTCTGTTTTTGTGTAGTATTATAGTGAAAAGCTTATTTGCTTTCTTATATGCAGCACTTTCTGCTGGTCTGATCCATCCCTTGCCATGCCCTTTGTTTTAGGAACTCTGTTGGTACTTAAAATTATCATGTATTGGGGCTGGGAAGGTAGCTCAGTGGTAGAGCACTTGCCTTGCATGCTTGAGGCCCTGGGTTCGATTTCTCAGCACCACATAAGCAAAAAGAAAAAAGCCGGAAGTGGCGCTGTGGCTCAAGTGGTAGAGTGCTACCCTTGATCTGAAGAGCTGAGGGACAGTGCCTAAGCCCAGAGGTCAGGCCCCACGACCGGACCCAAAAATGAAAATTAAAAAATTATCATGTATTTTCCCTTGGCCCCCACAGGAAAATTTTTAGAGGAATATGACCATATCTGGAACTTAAAAAAAAAACAACTGAGATTTTTAAAAATGTTTCTAGATAATCAAATAGATTCCAAAATCTTTTCCTAAATTTATTTAGTTTTATGTTTCTGGTCCTTTTTTTGTTTTTTGTTTTTTTTGGTCAATCGTGGGGCTTGAACTCGGGGCTTGGGCGCTGTCCCTGCACTCTTCAGCTCAAGGCGAGCACTCTACCGCTTGAGCTACAGCATCACTTCTGGTTTTCTAATGGTTTATTGGAGATAAGAGTCTCACGGACTTTCCTGCCTGACTGGCTTTGAGTCTCTATCCTCAGATCTCAGCTTCCTGAGTAGCTAGGATTATAGGCATGAGCCACCTGTGCCTAGCACTAGTCCTTTTTTTTTTTGGTTCAAGACTGGGACTCAAACTTGGTACCTGACACTTTGGCTCATTGGCTAGCACTCTACTAAGTCATGCCTCCAATCACTATGTTCCAAGTCTTATTAGAGTATAATTAACAAATAAAAATTGCATCTATTCAAGGTGTAAAATAGGAGGACTTGTGAAATAATCATCATAATCTAGTTAATGAATGTATCTATCACCATGTATAGTAACCACTGTGTGTATATGCATGTGTGTATATGTGCATATGTGCTGAGGACCTTTAAGCAGATTTCAAGAAAGTAATATAGTATTATTAACTAAAGTCACCATGCTAT